TTAATTTATTTAGTGTGTAAAACATACTTCTGTCCATTCACCAAAAGCAAACATGATTGTCTCCTGATAGGTTTGTTTTACAATATGTCTTTCTTATTAACTAAGGTTTTTTATGTATTCGGGTTCGCAACAAAAGTAAATCATCATCATCATCATCAAAATATAGTATTTTTTTGGAAAAATCAGCCTGATTGTGACACGATGGTAAACCCTATCTCAATCWTTTATTGCAAGTTTTGAATTTGTAACCATTTTGCTTGAAGTCTTTAAGCAACAGTCGGCAGATTCATYTCCTGACCCCTCCTCTCTTCCCCCGGTTCTGTGTTAAACTTTTCGTTTTCTGATCCGGTGCATCACACGACTAACTCCAAAGRCAACATTAAGTAGTTTACAATTTAGAATATTTGGAGATGTTTTATGAAACTGGACCAGTGCAGTTATTGTTATTTTTCAGTGAGTGTGCAGACCYCTCACTAAGTCTGTGTGGACCCCCGCTGGGTTCATTTCATCAAGGAGACAGCCATAAACAGCTGACCCCCCCTTCCTTCTTGATTTATTTATAATAATCCATAACTGAAGGACAAAGGTCTGACCCACTCTTTGGTATTTGGTCATGTGTTCGTTTCGGGGGGATGGGTGCAGCGGCCCCTCATTGGATTTTCTCCTTTGTGTCAGTGTCCTATAAATCATCGTGAGGAAAGCCATTTTAGGCTGAAGAATTCATCATTTCACAAACTTTAGACGTCTGGTTTGAGCTAGACCTTTAGACGTAACTCTGAGGTGATAACATGTGAATTTCAGCAGGCGGAGGTCAAAGGTCAGAGGTCTTTGAGATACATTATCAAACTGCAAGACTTGGCTTCTGATAATCAACATTTTAATCAACATTAGGATTAAAACATTACATCCATCGTCTCTTGTTTTCTATCCTGACATTTTCGTTTTGTTTACGTTATCAGCCACGATAAGCAGGAACAAATTTATCATGCTGATCATAAATAAACTGCTGTCAAGTGGTTTCATGAGTTAATTGCGTGGATTTCTTAATCTCTTTCACTGCCTAATTTAACATCAAAATGATGAAATAAAAAATGTTAACTAATTAACACTGGCTGCCTGCTATGTGTCTGTCTCACACATTTCGTTGCATAAATAAGACGGTTGTTCCCTCGAGGCTGAGGTGCAARGCTGCATTTCATGCCCAAAGTCTGCTGCTTTCACAGCATTCAGCTGCAGTAATTGGCTTGTAATGAGCTGGAATAAGGAGCTGTATCACCCGCCGTGATGCCCGAGAGGCAAATCGTTAAGCATCTTTACTTTGGGCTCCTCAGTTGGATCCTTGAGTTATTAATGTTGGCCATGAACCACTAGTAAAAGTAAGAAATATTGGAGTGATGTTTATTTTGATGTGGAACATGTCAGCAGTCGGAGTATCCATTGCTAACACTTCATGGCTGATTTGGAGGGTACAGTTTCTCTCTTTTGACGGGGACATGTCATGGAAAATCCACTTTTTTGGCATTATACATACATACATACATACATACATATCTCTAGGAGTGCAGAAAAGTCAAATTTAGTTGATTTGATATCTTTATATTCTGTTTGGGTCATATTTTTCAAAGCTTTATGTTTTCTCTATTTTTTATTTTCTGATCTATTACGTCACCGTTTTTGGTAACGCTTTCTTTTTCTTTTCCCTTATCACCATGTAATTACAAGGTAATTAAAAAACTTAATTAAATAGTAATTACTACCTTATTACCATGTAATTACCTTTGTAATTAGGGTAAATTTTTACTATGTAATTAATTGTCTGCAGTAATGTAGCACTTACCTGGTATTGTATTAAAATTCCGTATGTAACACATAAATAAATAGTAGTAGGTAATTTGGACAGTTTTAAAGTTATATTTTATTGCAATTAACCACTAACCCCAAAATTTAGTTGCATTCTTTTGGTTATAAATATAGTGTTGAGTTACTATTGAATAGTAATTTGATTGTAGTTACCCAATAAAGGTAGTTTTACTAACAGTAGTTTTTCCTTTTGTACCCTAATTACCACGTAATTATATGGCAATAAGGGTACTGTAAAAGAAGGTGTTACCACAGTTTTTGTGACAGAACTACCAAATAAGGTCTGGACTTACCAACTACAATTTGGTGGTCTTCATTCTCCTCTGGCTCTGGGTCCGACTCTGGCTRCAACATAAGGCTGGATGGACAAGTCTTCTGTTGCTGACYTCTTAATTCATTTGTYAATAAAAAGTTTCTGCACCACTATATAGTCGAAACCTCTCTTTCAGGCTATGGACTTCTCTGGAAGGTGCAGGGGTTAAAGTACCTTGTTTGGATTTAAAGAGACAGCCTCAAAATGAGTTGATCTGAGACACAACTCAGGAAAGGGGTGAACTTGGGGATTGTGGAGTTACAATAAAGAGGAATTCAGACAAAAGCATTGCAGTTCCACTTAATATAGACCCCAACTGAATGATTTCAATGTGAAAAGGGATTTAAAAGCAGAATATGTTTCCTTTAACTCTTCTTTTCCACAACTAAACTGGTATTTTAACTTTTTTTTTTCCGTTTCGGGTTTTTTATGCTAGTTTCTCACTTTGCTGCAACTGTCAGCAAACATGAAGGAATCTCGAAATGTCTTTTTTCGTAGTGGCTTTCAATTTCCTTGTGTCAGTTGCAGAGGCTTGCAGTCTTGCTACTTGAGTTTAAAGCATGTTCAGGAACTGGTATGGTGTGGGCAAGAAAGTTTTCCAAGCAATGAATATGAGAATAGACCGTAATTTTCAACAACTGGCCACACAAACCCCAACTGTACGACTTGCTGGTCAATGCAAACACTCAGGATTCATTGAGACGGCAACAGAAAATGTGCCTGTTCTTTAGAAATTTTGAGTTGCCAACTCGAACAGTGGTATCTTAGAGATGCTATCTGTTCTGTGTGGCTTATGGAGATTGTGACTGGTCGCCACTGGTTTGAATGGAATGCTTCTCAAATCGTGTTAATCTTTAGTTTTAACTTTTATAAATGTCAGTAAACTCACAAAACTTGACTCATCTTTTTATGGAGAAGAAAAATTTTAAAAGAAAACTTGGTTGGAGTTAAGTGGTCGGAGCAATGTCTGCCATTGATTAGGTTGTTGCAAAAAAAATGGGGGGAAAGGAGTTTGCTCTGGATTGATTTTTGTTTAAAAACAAAAAAAATGGTCAGAAGTATAACCTTTCTTATAAATGAAAATGTGCATTGTCTGTGTGGAGATTTCTAAACTCTACTGACATCTTTGGGGGTAAAAAGCTATTTGACTCTGGGGGACTGGACCATGTTGAAGGGAATCTGAGACCACCACCATATGCATCACATATGTGCAGGAGTTGTAGTGCATTCCGAACATTTTGTGTCTGTATGGCAAAAAAAAAAAAAAAAAAAACGGATCGAGACAATAAAAGCAGGCCTGGGAGAAGAAAGAATTTCTGGAGCAAACATTTCAGCAGATTACTATTCTGAGCAGAATGGTCCTTTGTTGTTTTACTTTTGTAATACACTGTTTGCATGACCAAAGCAGCCTCTTTGGGAAAATTATTCAGTGACAATTTTGGCAAAGAGAGTTGAGCGTGCGTTCGCTGTGGCCAGGTGATTAATCACATCCTAGCCGGCCAACTGGCTGAGTGCTTTCATGCTGATTAAACGGCCATGAGCAAACCTAAGTATGTGTTCTGTGTACACGTTTGTTCTTCTCCGGGACACGGGACGGTTCTTGACACAAATTCAGTTGCGTTAGCGGTGTTATAGCATGAAGTAAACCAACTTTTCTTGTTTATGACTGAACTCCTAAAAAGAAAAGTCTTTGTGAAATCATTTTTGTCTTTTAATGTGTTAGACATTTCAACCAAAATGGCACAAACGTCTTCCATACATGCATCAGTGAATGTACAGTTCTGTGGAAATGTCACCTTTTAGTTTCTTTACATTTTGCCAAAGCAGCTGAAGTCTCTTCAACTATTTAAAGGGATCCGCGATTAGTTGTAACATTAGACTTTATTTAATAAACATATATTTTAACTGTAAAATGGACTGTAAAAATACTGTAGGATGTTCAGTTTTTATCATTTTTAAACTAAAAGTTAAATATATTATACGGACGGGGCCATTTTATTTATTCACAAGGCATTCTGGGTAAATGATGATGTGGAAAGGTCCTCGGTGCGAGGCTGCTAGCGAGCTATATCCACCCTGAAGGTTAATCTTGGGCAATATCTGATGATTAGCTCTTTAAATGAAACCAGAGAGCGTTGACAGAGAGGAGAAGGTAGAAATGACTCAGTCTGCAACTGAATATGTGGATGGAGGACCTCAGTTTAGCTTGTTTGTCACGCTAACGCCYAGCTAATACAAATAAGGCAATATAGCGTCGGGGCTAACACTAAAGCTAAKAGGCTAAACTGAGGTTCTTCCATGAAGCAGCTCTGTTGTCCTCCATCCACATTTTCAGTTACAGGCTGAGTCATTTCTACCTTCTCCTCTCTGTCAACGCTCTCTGGTTTCCTCTAAAAGAGCCGATCGTCAGATATTGTCCAAGATTAACCTTCAGGGTGGATATAGCTCACTAGCAGCCCCGCACCAAGGACCTATCCACGTCATCATTTACCCAGAATGCTTTGTATGTAAACAAAATGGCTCCGTCCGTGTTAAAATATATTTTTAAAAATTTACAAAATTAAACAGCCTCTACAGTATTTTTACAGTCTTTATTTTGCAGCTAAAATAAATGTTAATCAAATAAAGTCTAATGTTACAACTAATCAGGGATCCCTTTTAGACAATTAGGTAAAGTCTGGCTATTTTAAACCAAATTAGAAAGAACTGAAGGGTGTTGTGACTTTTGCAGTCCTGTATTTAGGTCTCATCATCATCTTGACTCGGCCATTTTATTCATTTTATGAAAGTGATGTACTGTAAAACCCATTGTTTTGTTCACCCGTAGGAGGCGCTGGTGTTTTCATATGGGACAGGTGGCCTACATACACTTCCACTGCATTTGGTGAGGTTCCTGTGGCTGCCTGCTTTGAATGTTTGTAGCTTTCTAGGTGAATGGCTCCAAAGTGGTCTCCATCCAGCCCCTAACCCCAGACTTTCATTATATTGTGGGTTTAATGTGGTACTCGTCACTATGCAACACCAAAACCTGTATTTCTGGGGTGGTGTGGATAGAAAGAACTTCAATCCTGAAGGTTTTACTGACTGGTTAAAGTCCTAAAGATAAACCAAACGTTGTCATGTCGTATTGATGGTCTGTCTACTGTGCACGCTTCAGTAATCAGCCATCCAGTCATGCTTTTGATCATCTTTGACCATTTTGTCCACGTGTTCCTGTGCTGTTTTTGTAAACTAGATTTGTGTGCATGTGTGTTAGTTGTTTAGAAAAGGATGATTGAGTCGATGACTAGCAGTAACCCAGTAACTTCATCTTGTAGCATCGACATCTTTTATTGTTGGACGTAAAATAGCCAAGATGTACTAACTCCGAAAATTTGCACCTTTGCTTTTTTTCTTCCAGGGCAGCGACAGCGAGTACGAGGTGGACCCCAATCGACAGAAGACCCACTCTTTCGTCAACCACTACATAAGCGACCCCACCTACTACAATTCCTGGCGCCGCCAGCAGAAAGGGATCTCCCGAGCGCAGGCCTACAGCTACACGGAGTCCGAGTCGGGAGACCCGGAGCACTGCGCCCCGCCGCCTCTGCCCCCTCTTCCTCCACTTCCACCGCAGCTCAGCTCACCCAGCCCTCAGCCTCAACAAGCCCAGGGTCAGCCCCAGGGTCAAGGCACCCTGTTCAGGCCCAAAGGAAGCCGGACTCCCACTCCCTCCCAGCAGAGCTGCAACCCCCCCAGCCAGCACAGCACCCTGTACAGGCCCCCCAGCAGTCTAGCCCCCGGGTCCCGGGCCCCTATAGCCGGCTTCTCCTCCTTTGTGTGAAAAACGCTGAAAAGAACAGAAACTTCTGGAACTTGTGTTGAAGAACATGGCATTGGAGAATGCAAAATCAGCCCAAATGAATCAGTTACGTCTGTTTCTTCTCATTGTTTTGTTTTTCTTTTATTTCATTGCATTTTTGTTTGTTGCCTGAATATATGCAGAAAAACAGACTTTTCAGAGCACTTTTTTTTGTCGAACAAGTGGAGGTGTGCCACTGCACGCCCATTTTTTTTATGTCACCGGTTGATAAAATATGTCTGKAACATTTATTCACTTTTATTTGAAACGGCTTGCATGACTTTTGCTTCTCATTTGTTTCCTTCTGTCTTTTTTTTTTGTTTTTAAATTTTTGTTGCTCTTTGGATGCACATTCATCCGTAATCTCTGTACAAAGCCACAATTCTTTGAAAACACAAAACATTTACAAAAAAATTATACATATATATACAGCATATATAGTAGACACACCTAGAAGAAGTCAAGTCTGTGGAAACGACACCAGTGGAGACTCGTGATGGAGCCATGTGGAAGTGAAAATACACGATTTTACTCCAGAAAACAAAAGATAAAAGCTGAAACTTTTTTTTTTTTGCCAAAATGGAGAAACTTTCATGTTTTGACCTGGAAAGTTTTAAATGAACATTGAAGCTGCACCTCCATGGGAATAACTCTCTGGTCCGATAGCACACAAACGCACAGAAAAGTCCAACAGCATTTGGCTGTAACTGGTCCGTGACTGTGCTGTGCCTGAAGGAGCCTCAGATATATGAAATGAGTGTATATCTGTTTAAATGAAAGTGTTTAAGTTTTTTCTCGTGAGTGTGTTACTGTGGAACAAAGCTGCCTTGTTAGAGAAACACTTATTTATGAAACATGGCACCAGTTGTGACTGAACTACTTACGGTGCCCTGGACCGTGGCATCTCAACAGCCCCGCACTACAAGAGCCTTTTATTCCTGACAGATGTGGGGCTGTGGGTTTTATTTGCAAACGCAATTCACTTTTCATCTCCTGCCCTTCGCTGGCTTACGTATAAACACATCAGTCGAGTTCCACTGAAATGCTTTGAAAGCCAGCCTAAGTTTGTCGGGGGCTGTCACGTTCGTGAATTCGCTTAAGTGTAGTTTCTGTTAAGAAGACGAAAAGAAAAAACAAACTTTGCGTTTTTATTTCCCTTCCCTGTTGCGATAACGCCTCTCTGCCCCCCCGACCACTATCACTGGGCAGCGCTGAGCCCTGTGCCAAGAGATGATGTCATCCAGCTGCCTCACCTCGCTCCCTTCTGTGTAATCAAACACACTGTGTGACTGTGCACTCCCAAGCGCTAAAGGGTGTGTGTGTGCGTGATTATGCTACTTGTGTGTAAGCTTTACAGATCATTCACTGTACGTCTGTATAAAGAGATTGTCCTGCAGCAATTTAAACCTGCCTGGAGTTTCGCCACAGACGGTTGGCAGCATCCYACCACCTGGCAGGCGCACTCACAACGCTATAGTGAAGACTCAGTGGTGTGTTCTTAGTTTCCATAACTCAAAAAAAGAAAAAAAAATTGCCATCTACTTTTTTTTTCTTCCTTTTTTTATTTTTATTTTATTTTTGTTTTGTTTGTATGTGGGGTGATTTCATTGTACGCAACCAACGCTTATCATGCAGAGTCTGAATATATTATCACAGTACATTTCTGAAATAAATTATTTTTCAATGTTATTGGTTCTGGTTCTCAGTGGGAAACCTTTCAAAAACAATAAGTGGATGGGAAAACTCAAAGATGAACTTTAAAGAAAGTTGGCCTTTGGTGTTTTTTTTAAAAAATTTTTACGTATCACACCAGGCTACAACAGTAGGAAATTCAAACCTGTGCGCATCAAATTTCTTGACTTTCTCAAATCTCGTCTCATCATGATCAAAGGTTTAGTTCCAACTCGATTTTTGTTTACAATAAAGAAACTCTTGTTGCTACTATGCATTCCAAAATAGATTTTTTTCTCTTGCAAAATTAAATAAATGCACACTTTCAGATTGGATTCCCTGGTAATATTTTTATTTGCTCGTTGAGGTAAAACTAGCCCCTCGTATTTTGAGGACAGTAAAAAGAAACYAACGTTTTTGCAAAAACTGAGTGTTCTTAAAAACGTAGAAATTATGTTTCTGCAATGCCACGATGTCTACATCTAAAGTATTTCTGTGCACATGTGGGATCTGCTTGGTAATAATTATCTGATGGTGTTCCACCTGARTGTAACTCAAAGCAGCAGTAAATTGGCTCAGTGCAGATGATGTGAAATCCTGTTATCTGGTTACAGCCATCCCCCCCCACCCCACCTGACTTCTGCTGTGCTCTCAGATAACAATTCATCCTGTGGTATTTAGTTAGCAAAACTACCTTAGCTGTTGCTTTAGATCCCTCTGAATTCATATTAACCATCCTGCTAACTTTGGGTCAGGGCTGCCCTGTAGCATAGGCAGTAGAGGCAAATGCTAAGGGCACCATCCATATAGGGGGCGCTACAAATGGAGGATGAAAATATATTTTGTAACTTTTTTATCAGAATATAGATGATTTAGTCTGTAAAATAATCACTGGCTCCTCAGGTTTATGAAGGTAACTTGTTCTGTGGGTTTCTCAGCTTTGTTTCTACATGAGGTGTTAAATGGTTCAGAGGATGTTTCATGGTAAAAGTATCATATAACGCAGTCAAGACTAACTACTGGTGCTCAGTATGGAAATAAACAAAAGGATAATGAAAGTTTCYTTTCTGATCTCAGGTAAAGTTCAGGTTAAAMTCTGGTTTTCAGCGTTCTACCTTCATAAAATACTGATTTGATGTTTTATGAACCCCAAGAATTTCATCAAATGTTCTTGAAATGGCTGGAAAATGCAGAGTTTTGAATAGATATTTTACACAATTTTCTGGAGAGGTATAACCCTGGACCACCCTAGAACTGCTTCACTCCACAGCTGCTGGTTAACGTGAACAGGTGTTCCTCATTGATGTCAGCAGATGTTGGCTGGTATGAGGTWGACTTCTGGTATTCTGTTGCAAATGGATTGTATTGTTAACTGTTTTAATTGGACAACCTAAAGATTAAAAAGATGCCAAAGACAAAACTTTTTTTAAATTTTGTACATGAATTGGCCACGCAAGGGGCCCCACCTAAAATCTTGCCTAGGGCGCCAAATTGGCCAGGGCCGGCCCTGCCTTGGGTCAAAATGACTCACAAGACCTCTGGTTTAAAACCATGAGCTTGAGATAGTTTTGACCCTAGGAGGGTTAAGTAGTATGAGTTATGTTTTAGACATTTGTCTTTTAAAACAACGCTGAACACATACATTTTTGTTAAAAGCCTCTTTGAAAGAATATAAATCATCCACTACCTTTTATTACATTTTTAGATGACGTTTATCTTATGTTYAAACTTTGATAAAAACCTATAAATAATTTCATGTGCAATTTCATCCAAGGTGCCACTCTCCCAGTATGTGTTGGGAATGAATCTCAGCTAATACCACATGAAATTTTTGACTTTAAATCTGCTAAATTACTTGAGTGATAGCTATTTTGTTTTTTGTTTTTTTAGGTCAGTTGTCTGTGGCAGCCATCTTGAACTGGGCTGACTCTAAAAGTGAATTGGTTTAGTGGGTTATGAGATATTTTGCTAACAAACATATGAATAAACGTGTACAGAAATGGGCAAAAACATCGCCTGCCCTCGCATTTCAGCTGCAGGCGATGAAGACCCTTACAGTGTCAGATGCTAATTGGATCGCAGTCAGTCTGTTGATCCAAGGCTAACCCACTAAACACATAAGCGACAAGAGAGGAGATTAGATGGGATCGGATGGAACAGGGAATTGAAATGAGAGTGACCAAAGCACTAATCCCTAAAAAAAAGGAAAATGTCTCTGTGACAGTCGGACTGTAGACAGGAGGTATTTCACTTGCTGAAAAGTTCATTTTTTCTCTCCGTTTCTCTGTCTATACCCTTTTTAGAAATCAATGAAAGAAGAAGAGAATGGGCTGGTGGTCCTCATTACAAAGGGAGCCCAGGGTACTAAACCYCCARGARGAGCATTAAGAACCCCTCAGTTGGAATATTAAGGGATCCTGACAGAAGGTGTAGTTCAAAGGACTTTGAAGCCCCAGATTTAATTGCCTCATTTGTCAGCTTCACTGAGTGCAGTTCGTCGATTTAAAGAGAATATAGCTGCAGTTATTGAAAGAATGCTAATTTGAAAAATAGGATGTTCCCCCATGCCCCTCACAAACGCCTTTCTGATGTACTGTTTGTTGGAAGCTTAAATTGCTTTCTGATGAAATGTGCATTATGGGAAAACCGTCGCAGTCATTACAGAGGGTCCCTTTGCCCCAGTCAAGCTCTCTTTGCCCACTTTCCCTGCACTTGAACAGAGTTTCCACTGTGAAAACTCATTTAAAGATTTGAGACAAAAATAATAATAATAATAATAAAAAGTGATATAAATGACAGAAAGGTGCACTCTGTCGTGTTTTGGCCCCAGCTGGCAGGTTAGAAAAAGTGACTGAGTCTATATATGAAATTCTGTAGCTGTTTCAGGAAACGGAGCCATCAAAGTGTTGTGTCTCTGCTTTTATCCTCACCAGAGTTTCCCAAAAACGTTGCGCCACTYATTGGCTCCTAAAATCTGTAATGATTATTACAGATGAGAAATTTTCTGCTTTGACTGGAAGGTGGGCGTTGTTGAAGCAACACGAGTTGGGCTAAAGTTCACACCTGAGTACCAGATGTTTAACCACTCAGACATCTGGTGGTTTTAACACCGAATCAGTGTCACACAACATATATTGTGCATTTCAGTACCTTTTAAATGTTCAGTAGGAGTTAGAAACAAAAGTGCCACGTCTTCACTAGTTATTATATTTTACAGAAATTTTGTTGTGGTTGTAGCAGAGAGTCGTATTCAACATCTTGGAAGGTCTCTATAACATTTACATTGTTTGACCAAAATGAACATCTCCAAGCAAAGGTTGTGTAAAACTCTGGCATGAAAGGCAGAGGGGAGTTATTCCTTCATTAATCCTAGACTTTATTTTATATAAATCATAGTATAGTCTCTGTTGGTTGTCTTCATACCTCATATGAACAAGACTCATTCAAAATAAAGAAAATGTGATTTAACTGAGCCAGAAGGCAAACAAACATTAGAGACTTTAGTTATTAGTTGTAAAAATAATAAAAATAAAAAAATAAAAAAATAAATAATTAAATACGAAACAGTTACTTAAGATTATTATAATTTCTTCTGGTATGTGTGTATGTGTGTGTTTTAAAGGAGCCATAAATCCCTTTTTTAAACATTTAAATCCTCAGTATATAAAGTGGAACTGCAATGCTTTGGACACGCGGATAATGCCAGTATCACTCCACCCCCTGTTAACAATAAGTGTTAATTAGGTGTCAACGATAGCCATGTGATGTGAGTATCAGTCACATCACAAAAGCCTGAATTTTGCCTGAAACTCTCAGACTGAAGAAGTCTCTTGGAGGAGAGACTAAACGTTTCATTAGAGAAGAACCCGTCCAGAAGACCTATACAATTTTTTTCCTCCTTATTGTAATTCCACAAAACCCTTCTTCATCCCTTTTCAGGGGTGTGCCTCAGWCCAACTCGTTTTGAGGCTGTCTCTTTAAATCCAAAGGTGCTTCACGCTCCGTCCCCTCTTGCTTCCAGAGCAGTCCAATCTAACCTGATTGAGGCGTTTAGGTAAAGAAACTTTTTGTTTACAATTTAATTAAAACATGTCAACAACAAAAGACTTGTCCATCCAGCCTTACATGTTGGAGCCAGAGTCAGAGGAGAATGAAGACCACCAAATTGTAGCTGGTAAGACCAGACCTTATTTGGCAGTTCTGTTGTAAATACTGTGACATTAGTTCAGATAATGTCATGAATACAGCATAGCACCAGGAGAGACTAAATTAAACTTTTCTGCACTCCTACAGATTCCAAATACACGACAAAATGTATTTAGTGGCTACAAAAGTGAAATATCCATATGTCCCCTTAAAGATTTATTTTTTATTATTGTATTTTTTACTTCATTACAACTAGTGACTAGTATTAACAATTAATTTGTTGGAAGTCGAATTTGTGTCCATTGTTATTTGTTGTGGCTAAATAGAACACTGGCCCTTTAAATCTCAGCAGGGGGCGGAGCTCTSTGGCGCGTGAGTTGAGTGGTGGTGGAGGGGGAGGGCCGCGGGCTTTGTGCGCCACAAGTAAACGGACGCTGGAAGTAGAAGTACGGGACGAACTCTGCTGTTTTTTTCTTCCTCTGAGGAATTATATATTTTTTAAAGACACACAGCTCGCTCCTTTTTCACGTGTTCATCGAAAGTTSAGTGGAATACAGCACCGAACTTCCGGGTCGTTCGGACTTTAAAGAAAGGTAACTTTACTTTATTTATGAGTAATTGATATAAGGTTCAGCTGCGCTGTAACGCTTTGTTGTGAACCTCAAATTTAAGGGGGTGAGACTACTTTTATACTGTGTGTGTTTGTAAAGTTCTCGGTGAAGAGAGAAGGTTGAATGTGTGAAACTGTGTGAAATCAGCATCTCATTTGAATGGCAAATGTCCCTGTGGACCATCACCCCCTGGTTGTCCCATATGGAGAGGCAAACAATAAGCCCTCTGGCGTCCTCCCAGTGTGTCCCACATCCACCAGTCTGGCTGGCGAGGACTGGAAAGTTCAGTCCTGGGCCAAACATTTACTCCCAAGTTTTTGTTTTTTTCCCTCTAGAGTTTGTTGCTGTTTGTCTAATGTGAATTTTTAATAGAACACCAGCTTTTTAATATTTTTAATTCCTTCTTTAGGGAAAAAGAAAAGGTTCATTGGAAATTTATACTTCTGAGTTCATTGTGTTCATGTCAGGAAATCATTAGAAATTCTGCTTTTTCACACCAGAGTTATAGACTGATATCTTTTACAGTGTTTCCCAAAGTGGGGTCCTGAAACATCAAGGTGGGGTCCTGAAAAGATTTTCTGAATTAATTACATTTTTMCCTTAGTTGTTACAAATGAGTGAGGTTAGTGTATTTAAAATGGATAAATGTAGTATAAAAATATTGTTACTATGCCCATGTTTTGTTGACCAGATACAAATGTTTKTCATCCAAAAATAGTTGGGGGCACAGGTCTCTGCTACTGTTATTTTGTGGGTCAAAAGCTGAAAAGTTTHGGAACCACTGCACTTTGGTTCCCAAAGTTGGGCTTGGGACCCAATTATGGGTCATGAAGCACCTTTGATAATCTCCAGAAAACAATTTAAAGGGTAATAAAATAATTGCTGATGTAATATTTTCCCTATAACTATTACAAGACACAAAATAAGTAAAAAAACAAGTATTTATATTTGTGTATAAACTGTTTAGATTGTCAAAAAGCCTGTGTTTTTAGGGTTATCAACGAAGTTTGTGTCCTCAGACCAGTAATATTTGGGGTCACAAGTTTTTGCCATGGATATTTTGTGGGTCAGAAGACAAAAAGTTTGGGAACCACTGMTTTAGAATAACATGATCTTYTCTTTTTAAGATCATCTCAAGGAATGATAGTTCTGGATATTTTAGTTAAACCTTTAATGCAAGTGCAATCTCATGTTATAAWAATGCAGGATCTCATGATCTGGTGGTGTGTAAAGTATGGGTTGTGTATGATTCTTAGTTACTACCACACCTATTTTTTTTATCTATATATATTTTTCAGCTTTATCTGTACATTTGTCACAACTTTTGTCTAATCTAAACTTTCATTGAAAACCARCCAGTATATTTTGCTAACAGATTGTGTCTGGCAACATTTAGGGATGTAATGATTCACTCATCAGTTTTAAGTTCATGATTACGATTATTTTTCTGTTTTTTTCACCCCAGCAAAATTAATTGTAGCCATTTTACAAAATGTTTAACTTTTTAATATCAGCATTTTTGTCTTTGCGTCAAACTGCAACCATRTGTTGACTTTTACCAGAAAATAACTTCAAAATAAATAAGATCACAAATCCTTTTATGACCAAAGTTTTAGCACGTACCAAGCTGAATTTGTGTGTTATACAATAACAATGGGATTGATTCATGAAGGAAGTTGATGTGTTGTGACTGTGCTCAGCTAACACCAGATGTTAGCTCAGTATCTGTAAAATTGGRGGATTTAAAGTCGATTTTGTGTTTTGCRAAGYTTCTAAGGAATTCATCCAATGATTGATGAGATATTTAGCTCACAGTGCAGACTAACCCACAGAGAGACGAGCAAAAACATCATCGCTCTGCCTTTGGGCGACAATAAAAGTGGCCTGTTTGACTTTAAAGATCCTGTAAAAAAGTAAGTGTCCACTTAAAGAACTGGACCAGCGGGTTTTAAGTCGCTAATAACTTTGTTTTTAAGCTTGTWGATTCTGAGTTGTTGGATCTGGGCCGAGGAGTCTGAAATAATGTGTCCCAAATAACTGTGTTGAGCTACAGGGCAGGATATGATTTATTCAGAGCGGGGGCAGATGGGTTTTTGAGCGTCAGTTACGTAACTTTAATATTCAACAGTGGGATCACAGTAACAAGTCAGAGCTCAATGAAATCCCTGGGAATCTAGGTTTCTATTTTTTTTATTCCCCCAGAAATGTATATCTCATTTTAAATCATTGGTGGGGGGTTGTGATCTGTTTGTTTTTCAAACTCAACACCCACCATAAGCTGGGTTTACACAACCGTGGCAACGGCAATTTTATTTATACAGCAATTTTCATTACACATAAACTGAAAGTAGCCTCTCCATCGTGCTGTAATTGAAAGCGGTATAGTGCGTGCTTGACTTTAACTGCGCTGACTGTAAAGTTTGCAGGTCTGTTTTACAACTCTCTGCTTCATTATTACCCACTCTTCACCAGTAGTCACCTCTTTATTCTTGTTAAACTGCCACTCGAGACAATAGTTGGACGTATAGACGAGTGGGCTTAGTGCTGATCTTGTCTTTACACAGCTGTTGGCCTTTGACCCCTCTCGCACACAAACATCTAACCACACCCTAACAGCAGGCCTAAGGTTAGCCGGGAGTTGTCATTTGGTTTGATGAATCATTTTAGCTTAAAAGAAGCAATGAAGCTGGAAAATAAGCACTCCTTTGTAACTTTGAGAGTGCCAGTGCCTCTTTCCTTGTGTCCAGTAATGGACACGAGGTCTTTTTTACTATATGGCTTCTTAAYAGCAGCTAGGCAGACATCCCACCGCCAAGATCTGTTGGGTTGGGGGCGGGTTAGTACATCTGTGTGTCATCTCTGACTGTGCGTTTTGTGCAGAGGAGGCTGAGTTTGCTCAGTTGCGACGAAGCTGGCTACCTTCCCAGCTCTGATTGCGCTGAGGTCATTGCAGTTTTACGTTGGAGGGAGGGTGTGCAGACCTGGGGGGGGGTTGGGTACAAGCAGTCAGACTCATGGACGGAGTAACTTCAGGCAGTTCCTAGTTCCAGGGAAGCTCATTTCCTTCTGGTGTTAACTGCATCTCTGGGATCTTTACTGCATGACCMTGTTGTGTATATGTGGTGAAAACAGACTTTATTTACACTCTGTAGGGAGTAAAATGAAGTCAGGTGTGGCATTTCCTTGTATAATTTATAWTTTTGGTCCCTCTCGTTTCTTAGGAAATGTAAATTGTTGCCATCTTTAGCCTCCGTTCTATTAGAAACCAACAGCTAATGATGGGAAGTGGTTTTGCTGTTTGCTCTTCTTTGTTACAATTACACTGCCTGCACAAAGCAAGTGTTATTTTTGATAAATTGACACTTTATGAGCAAAACTATTGTTTTCATAATGGCAGAAACCAAGCWTTTTGCCTGTAGCAAATGTTCTTATTTTGTCACAACTATAAATGAAAATATTGTGTATTTAAATTTTAACAAGTTGCCAGAGCCCTAAAACGCTGTTGATTATGGTTATATTAGATGTGAAAGATATGCTGTTTGTGGAAAACTCTCAGGATTGCGGCAAAGTTCCCAAACACTTTTGTTTTGTCTCAGTTATAGGATTAATCAGAGTTCAAAGAAGCACTGAGGTCAATAGGTGAAGAGCGTTTAAGTCTTTGAACATTGCGTGCCAGTCCTGAAGACTTTTTTTGATTTATTGCTAGAAAAGACATTTATAATCCATAAGTTCAGCACTCAGTATCTAAACTCCCACCCTTCATTACATACAGAATTTCTGACTGACGTACTGTAAATAAGTTGGTCAAACAAGGAGTTATCCAGATATTTATATTWAAAAAAATAAAGTGTGTGTAGCACAAAGATTTTCCATCTGTGCATGGTAAAATTTATTCTAAAAGTATTTAGAGTACATCCGTCCATGTATTTTCTTTACCTAGTCAGAGCTAATTCTGGCCCAGGGGTCTTCTACTGTCCCTTTACACTGTATTACTGTAAACCAAGTCTGTTCCCAAGATACAAGTTTTCTTTTGCTTTCTGTAACAGCCCAACTCCACCTGGCAGTCAGTTACTTACATTTGTGTCTGTTTTGGTTTCCTTCAGTGTGGCATCATTGTAGAGCAAGATAACCAGTTCTGCAGGAATTAGTTTCTTGTTAGGTGTTGCAAAACTAAAAGGTGTTAGAGCTTTGTTGTCCTGAAAGCGTCAACAGTGTAAAGCTCCTAAACATTTGCATGTTTCAGAATTGCTGATTGCTCAATACAAAGATGTGCTACGTGTTTGTATACCACAACACCGTCACTTTGACCATTTGTCAGTGTTGTTTTATGCTGTAGAACCAGTCCAATGACCAGTTCTGACGTAAAACAAGTGTTTCTGGGTGTCCTCTTGGTTTTAATTTCTCTGTAGGAGTGGCACAAGACAAAAGAGTTAATTTGATGACGCACCTGTCTCATTGTCACCTCTTGGAYTCTTATTTTACTGTGCACATTTTTAACCATGTCATAGTTTTATTGCTGTTGTTTTGATTGCTATTTAGTCTTTTTTGTTGTAACACCAGGAAATTTCAGTAGGCCCGAGTCTTGTTTTTTGTTTGCAGCTGTGTGTCAGTTTGAAGAGAATTTAGTAAGCCTCTCAGAAAAGAAAGCCTCTCACAGCTTCYTTCCAATGTCTGCAGGGTGTCCAGAAAAGCTTTTCCTTTGTTAAACTCAGTCAAAGGTAGATGTGTGTGGGGAAAAACATCTTTTTAAACATTAAGAACTGATTTTTATTTATTTGATATGGTGATATAGCCAAAATGACACAAAACAATAGTGAGTAAATAATAACCTAGTTGGACAAAAAAAGTTGAATTTCTGTAGGTTGTTTATTCTTGGACRTTATACATGGTAAATGCACACTTAGGCACTTGTAAATCCTGTTTGAAACCAAATAATGTATCATCAACTGCGTAAATGAATGTTTGTTTGTTGTGTATTGACA